CGCCCGACATGTTGGCGCGTTGTGTGCCAGAATTCATTACCCGCATTCAAAAATGTGTTGAAATGGAATGACGACATTTCGAACATTTGTTATAAATTTTTTTCATAGCCGACTATTGTTGTTAATGTTAGTTTTTGTTTTTCAAACGTTTCAAATAATACATTTTACAAGGAAACTCATTTTTCTTAAATTTTGAATTACAGCGCCATCTGTTGATAAATTGAAAAAAGTTTTAAATAAAAGTTATTTATTTTTTATGTACTACCAAACTCTGTGAAAAAAATCGGGTCATTCCATTTGACTTTCCAAAGTTACCCCCCGTTTCACCCTTAAGGAGGGGTAGGGGGTGGCTAGCGGTAGCACCAAATAATGTCTCCTTTAGTCACATTAACCTTTTATTTAAGACATTTTTCCGTGAAATGCGTATTTCTCGAGATATTGAGATATTGATATTGTTAAGTTAAAAGAAACACCCTGTATATCTCCATTATTCGAGCTAAACTGGTAAAACCCCTTAAAGGATTTGTTTTGGGGGTTGCCTAGATTCGATTTTTTCAGATTTGATCCCAGTTCATTTTTTGTGTTGCACAGTGTAATTTAATACAAGGTTGATGGATATACTTTAATTTACCTTTTTTAAATAAGTTAAAATAATTGTTTTATTAATATTAATAATAATTAATTTTAACATTATTGTTTAATTAGAGATATTTTAATATAATATGTAATAATCACAATACACACAACAAACCCTGTTTTATCTTGTTTCGCGCATACTAAACATACTAAACATCACAACATCACAATGCACAGAATCTAACGGCGGCCATTTTTATGTTTATACAGATTAAAAATCGTTTTAAACGTGTTTCTTACAGAGGCACTTGTAAGCCTCAAATGAGGCGTTTAAGTGCTAAGAACAACCATTTTAAACCTTATTCTATCAGGGCTGTCATCAAACTATCAAATTTAAATTTGTGTGTTATGGTAAATTAACCTTAAAATTGAAATTTGACAGTTTAATGACAGCCCTGAAAGTTTAGTTTAGGTTTATTTTTATCAAAAAGGAGTAAAACGGTTGTTCTTAGCACTTTTAGGCTAACAAGCGCCTTTTTAAGAAACAACGTTTAAAACGATTATTAATCTGTATTTAGGGCCACCAATTTTCCCTAAAAAAAGAATGTCTCAAATTAAAATTTCTAATATTAAGCTGCACATTATAGTTCTCCCACCTCTAATCATTCTGCTAAAGCACTCCTGTGATTGGCTACTTTATTTTGTTAATAACCAGTTAATAGTGGGTCTGATCGAAAAACGGCAAAGACTATTTGACTTAAAATTCCACCCTCTATCCACCCCTTTTCTGCTGTCCTTGACTTTTAAGACACCCTGTATAATATTAAGGAATATATTCCTATAGTTACTATTATAAGGTCTGCCGGATTAAAATATTTTAATATACAAGGTGTCCCTAAACTTAGTGGCATAAATTTAGGAGCAGATTAAGCAAGTCAAAATAAGACGAAAATCTAAATAATATTTTTCCTAATTACTTTTGTTTAAAAGTTACAGGGTGATAATGTGTTACTTATCACATCAGTTTTTTAATATAACTTCTACTATGGTAGACTTGGAAAGGTGATATTTTGCGAACAGTCACTTACTACCAAAACACATATTCACACATAATTACAATTGTTTGAGTGAACACAGTGTCGTAGAAACGGGGGTTGCTTTAAGCTTATTGTCCCATACAAACTTTGAGGTTAGGTTTTTGTAACGTTTGATGCAATTTATCGATTAAACAGTTCGGCTACCATTAAAAAGGTGTACCTCTCAAACTTCGATAAAATAAACCGTTTCCGAGATATTTGAGATTACAATAATTGTTTTATCGCATTATTTAAAAGGATTGAAAGGTATATGATAACAAGTATGAGTATGAGTATGGGAACGTATGGCAGGCCCCAGATATATTATCATCCACTGATCTCCCGGGGTTATTTTACCCCCTTTCCGTTCTCCTGCGTATCCCGCCAAACCACAGCATTACCTGTGTTTGTTGGATCCGAAGTTTTTACGCCGGCTGGTAGATCCACCCTAGGAGTTCGTGGATGACAGTGTTAAAGGTTAAGGCCGCTCCCGGGATTTTTGTCAGCCGGGTCGGGCCATACGTCCAGTTTAGGAAGGGTTTTTGGAGGACATTGAACTGACCCAAAACTAAGTACAATCCGGAATCCCCCTAAACCTAGGCCTTAGTAGTATCCCCATTCAATTGGTATTCGTGAATGGGGGTGGGTATGTTAGTTTTTTGCTTACTCCGGCTACCAACCCTGTATATTCTTTATTTATTTTATTGCTAAATTAGTGTTTATACCGTTTTCGTTTAATTTATGTCTTTGCATTCTTACTTTTTTTTTTTAAATTTAATTTAAAAATATAAATATTAATATACAAAATAGATAAAACCGGCCCTGTAGTGTTTGTGGTGGAATGCCACCAATTGGTCTGCATTGGCTATAATTGATAGGATCATTCTTCTTTTCTTCTGTGCTGTTCTTCTATTTTGAGCCGGGGTGTCAGTACGCTGCCCTTGTTGGTGAACTATTTATTTTGTTGTTAAATTAGTGATTATACCGTTTATTATTATTTATTTTGTATCTTTGCATTCTTACTTTATTCCAAAACTAACCTAAAAATAAATTAATTCACGAAATAGATAGAGCCGGCCCTGTGGTGTATCGTATTAATTTTTGAAGTACGGTCTTAGTCAGGCGTGTAACGTATGCTTTAATAGATGGTTTATTACGTTATTGGCTATTGAGTTCTTATCATCTTTGGGTTTGATTTATGGCTGTGACCCTAAATGCATATACAATATTACTTATTCAAACACAACAATTTTTTATGATGAATTTTGTCTTCTTGCTTGATTTAGTTTATTTACTCTTACGCCTTTTTCAATGGTTGTTTATGATTTGTCTACTATGAGAAAATGAGGTTGTTTATTTAACAATTACGGAAATGTTCTTACTTTTTTTTTTAAATTTAGTTTTTATGACAGATAAAAAGAATTCTTAGATTTTTTGGCAACATTCTGAAATGCTTATATAAACATTTAACGATTATACGGTAAAACATGCAATTAGAAAAATTACTTAGCTTGATTATTAGGCTATAATCCTGATGCTTAGTCTTTCGCGGGGTGTCCTTTGTTCCTTCTCCTGCAGGTTTTGAGACGCTCTTATAAACAAAAGACGTGTTTAATATGTGATATCTGTATTTGTGATAAAGTATTTATAATGTATTTATTAAAATTTGTAGATACATATATATTTATATTTATTTTGTATTTTTATATTTTTGTATGTATTATTTATAATTAATTATTTGGGTGGTGTGGAAGAGCGTTTTTACGAACACCTCCTTTTGTGTATTGTACTTTATATTGTTATATTGTATTTTTTGCACAATAAATGTATTATTATTATTATTATTATCCAGGTGTGCCGGTTGACTTGCACACTTTTACGGCGTTATCTCGCAATTTTCGCCCTTGTTGCACTTCTTGCACTTGTTTGTTTATTTATTTATTTATTTATTAACGAGTACCGATATTTCCGGATACTTTGTTTCGTTTTTGGTACTTTACGTTTGTATCGTATACGCTACTTAGGAGGAATCTAGCTCGACGCATCCGACCGCTTCGAGTGTCAAGAGCCAACTGGATTAAAAGGTATATGATAACAAATTTTATTTTTTAATTGAAAAAACTAAAAAGGGCATTCCATGAGCCTCGGGACTTTTTGCCCTGACCGTCACATTAAACAAAATGTAGTTTTTTCAATAATTTTTTTTTATCATATAACTTTTAGTCCTTTAATGCGATATAACAATTATTGTAATCTCGAATATCTCGAGAACGGTTAATTTTATCGAAGTTTGAGAGGTACACCTTTTTAATAGTAGCCGAACTGAGTAATCGAAAAATTGCATCAAATGGTATGAAACCTAACCTCAAAGTTTGTATGGGACAATAAGATTAAGCAACCCCTGTTTCTACGACACTGTGTTCAGTCAAACAATTGTAATTATGTGTGAATATGTGTTTTGGTAGTAAGTGACTGTTCGCAAAATATCACCTTTCCAAGTCTACCATAGTAGAAGTTATATTAAAAAAACTGATATGATAAGTAACACTTTATCACCCTGTATCTTTTAAACATACGTAATTAGGAAAAATAATAATAATAATGCTTTATTGAACTAAAACCAAGTTCAAAGGCTATTGACCGTAGTCCTTCAGCCGAAGGAAAAATATTTATTTAGATTTTCGTCTTATTTTGACTTGCTTAATCTGCTCCTAAATTTATGCCACTAAGTTTAGGGACACCTTGTATAGCTAAAAATCATTCTAATGAATAAGGTTAAAGTCTGCCAAGTTTCAAATTTTTTAAACAGTGTCTTTGGCCGGAATATAAAATGTATTATTCAATACCAAAAACCCTCCTTCAGATAGGAAACTTGAATTGCAATGTTAATATTATGAAACTTGAAGAATATTTTTTATTTATTTTGAACAATATGAGCCCATGGGAACATAAACCACAAATTTAAAAAAAAGGACCACCCTACAACCCAGTCATGCAGAAAGCAGAAAGTTTCCATGCGTGTATCTTGCAGTTTTCTTGCGCATTTATAAATAAAGTAATAATACATTACAAAAAATTATGACCAAGGCATGACATATTTAAGACATTTATTTATAATATTTTTTTTATCTTTGAATAATTTATTTTATTAACTTAAGCCAATTCTTTAACTTTTCCATGAGCCCTTTACGTTTAGTTAAACAACAGTAGAATAATTTATTATATGTATATACAAAACAAATTTATAATTTTGGCAAAAGCTGAAGTACATTTATTTTTTCTTAAATTTTAATTAAAATTTATTTTTTTAATCGTTTCCTAATAACGTATGTTTAATAAATAACTTACGTCAAGCTTTTCCTTCTTCTCTTTATCCTCAATACTCTTATCAAGCAACACTCTGGGATGAGTGCAAATTCTCTGCAGCTGCTGGAAATCAGTAAACAAAAAGGATGTCCTGTTGCTGCCGTCGTTTTGTCGCGCAAAATTGTTAATGTAATGCTCATAGATCTTGACCTGCACGTCCGTCAAACTGACGAAAAGAACATACTCATGCTTAGGCGGCAAATAGGGTTCCAGCACGGCATAGTCTCTACGCTGCACAATACCGTCGAGCATTTTATGCAGCACGTGCGCCCTCTTTCGCATGATTTGAATATCGTGCTGCGTTGAATCGGTGTATTGGCCGTTGGTGATCGGATTGACGAATCTGTTAAGGTACTCTTTGTACGTTCCCAATAAGTTTGGCTTTACGAATTGAACCATGCACCAGTACTCTTTGAGGTTGTTTTGCAAAGGCGTACCGGTCAAAACTATGCGACGAAGGCTTTTAATGCGGTTCATGGATATGCTAAGGTTGGTTTTTTCGTTTTTCAAAAGATGACCTTCATCACAAACCACAAGGTCCGGACCTAAAACATTAATAACAAAATGTATTGGATATGTATGTGGGTCAGAATTTCTCAAACGGGCCACCTGAATTAGGTCAAAATTAGTTTTTGTTTGTAGATACATTTTTTTGATAGTATTTTACATCACTAACACAAATCCTAAAGGATTTTGTAAAAAAAAAATTTTCAAATGACATATTCATGATATTAAAAGTCAAAGTTTTTAATAATTAAAAAATAAAAAAATTCATTATGGCTGAACTAATTATCCGATTCCAACGATATAACTAGCGTTGGAATCTTGTTTTGACATAGATTCTTTGTTATTTTTTTCAATTGTCCTATTTTCATTTAGGTCGATTTTTTTTTGTTTTTTTTATACCAAATTCGGAAATAATTGCCTTCTGCGCCAGCTATCGACTCGAGAAAAAAAACACATATACTCCAATCATTTCTCGAAATTATGCTGCTGAGAAAAAAAATGGCCCGCAGGTTGACAAAAAGTTATTCGTCCTTTTGTGGCCGCGCGCGGTGTCAGCTCACGCTCCGAACCGTGTACGCTGTACGCGCTTGTGACGCGACGTCTTACGGTGGTCTGGAACCTGCGGGCCATTTTTTTTCTCAGCAGCATAATTTCGAAAAATGATTGGAGTATATGTGTTTTTTTTTTCGAGTCGATAGCTGGCGCAGAAGCCAATTATTTCCGAATTTGTTATAAAAAAAAACAAAAAAAAATCGACCTAAATGAAAATTGTACAATTGAAAAAAATAACAAAGAATCTATGTCAAAACAAGATTCCAACGCTAGTTAAATCGTTGGAATCGGATAATTAGTTTAGCCATAATGATTTTTTTTTATTTTTTAATTACTAAAAACTTTTACTTTTAATATCATGAATATGTCAATTGAAAATTTTTTTTTTACAAAATCCTTTAGGATTTGTGTTAGTGATGTAAAATACTATCGAAAAAATGTATCTACAATCAAAAACTAATTTTGACCTAATTCAGGTGGCCCGTTTGAGAAATTCTGACCCATGTATATATATATATATATATATATGTTCTGCTTTAGGTTTCCACGGGCGTTATATGTATTGATGGTTTTCCGGGATCTGCTCCGTGTTGTCGGTTTTTGGATCTTAAAAGAACCGTATGTCTGAGGACGTTTCGGTTTTATCTGCTGGGCTGCTCTTGCGGCTCTGTTGCAGCCCAGCAAATAAGACCTGAAGATGGTACAGAATAAGAATAAGAATAAGTTTATTAACCTTCAAAATTTACAAGGTACGTCATACAAAAGGAAAATTTTAAGTATCTAATGATAATACGAACAAGACTTATTAAATATGAAATATAAAATAATACAAACAGTATAAAATTTTAAAACATGATAAACAATGTAAAAAATTGTAAATATAAATAATATAAAAACTTACACAGGTAATTTTAGAAACACAACATATTTACATACTGACATGGTACATACACTAAATACGTAAAAATTGGGCTAAAAGGATAAGTCTAAAAATTCTTTATAATCATATATGAGACATTCTTTTACATATCGTACGGATTACAGAAAACATATTTTTTCAAATTTTTAAAATGACTTCATTTTTTTTTACAGCATCTTTTCATAAATTTAGCCGACCCCTATATCGGAATTTTTGCAGAAAATTTATTTTTCCAAAGATATATTGATTTAAACTTTTGATAAAATTTGAAAAAATGCTGAATTCTTTTGTACTTAAAATTCATTATCTCCGGTTCTACTGATCGGATCGATTTCATTTTTTTTTTATTTTAAACCATATTACATAGTCTTTTTCGATAAATATTTAAAAAGTTTGTGTTTTGTTCATTATATGAAAAAAATATTTTTTTTTTGTATAAACAGATTTTTTGTGTTTGCCCCCTCTATGAAAAAATATTAAAAAAATACTGTTCTATGCACTATTTATTACTCTACAAAATGAATTTTTCAGAAAAATGGAGACTTTTTTGGATCGGAAGATATTAAATATTTTCGAGCGCGTGACCGGTACAAGCCGTAAGGGGGCATCCATTAATTACGTGAGGCGTTTAGGGGAGGGAGGGGGTCAAGCCAAATCTCATCAATTCTCACGTAAGGGAGAGGGGGGGTCTCGGCAAATATCACGTAATTTTTAACAAAGTATGTTTTTTTAATAAATCCAACAGAATCAAGCAGTTTAACGTATAAACATTAAAAATAAGCATTTTTTAAAATATCACGTGAGATTAGGGGGAGGGGGTTGAGCCAAATCTCACGACATCTCAGCAAGGGGGGAGGGGGTCAAAAAATCGCTAAAATTGACTCACGTAATTAATGGACACCCCCTAATCAGACATCTTCGAAACGCTAACACATTTAGGAATCCGCCGATACGAGAGATTCTCGCCTCTCGTCTCGTCTCGTCTCGTCTCGACGAGACGAAAGGGAGATTTTCTCTCAAAAAAAGGCTCGAGACGAGACGAGAGAAAGCCCTCTCTCGCTCGAGAATTTCTCGTTTCTCTCGATCTCTCTCGTTCTCTCGATTATTCCGGTAATAAGTAAACAATTTTTTTACATAAAAATTTTAATTTTGCGATATTTATTTGGACCAATGAGAACATTATTCGCATTTCATAATAAACAAAATTTGTTCCTGTATAACGTTTTATTATTTTATAACACAACTTAAGGTTAACCAAGAAAAAAATTACTTATAAAATAATATTAATTTTTAAAATTTACCCTGTATAAGCACATTTATGGCACTCCTTATACTATTAAACAACCCGTGCTTAATAAGCATTGCTTATTCAATGAACTTATCAACAACATGTGGTTTTTGAGGGGCTGATTACAAATTTGATATCCATTTCTTCAAAAAATAAAATGGCTGATCCAATATGACGAAAATTTGTCGTTCGGCTTTAATGGTTTGGGTAAAATTTAGTATTTAGATATTTATGGGGTCCCTGATTAAGAATTTGATATCCATTCAAAAAACAAAATTGCGGATTCAAAATGACGGACATGCGCAGTATATCTATAGGTACAAGATGGTTGGATCTATGTGGAGTAGTTACATCATATAGACGCAGTAGTTTTCAGATGGATGGATGATTTGATCCATCCATCTGAAAACTACTGCGCCTATATACTACACTGAGAAAAAAAATGGGACAAATAAACTGTGTAGCTAATCCTTTTATTAATAGTGAATATATTGTTTATTACCTCCAAATAGTCGAAATAATAACGATAAATATACTTTAGTAAAACTTTATGTGTCGGGAATAAAAATATATTTAGGATAAATATACTGTACCCTTGTGCCATATTTAAATATATTTTTTATTTGGGAGCAATAAACTTTTTTCTCAGTGTTACAGTTACATCTATATATGTAACTACTCCACATAGATCCAACCATTTGATTGAAATGTGCGACATTTTCGGCGTAAAAAGTCTTACTTTATCAGTGTGGTCTTGGCACAATTTTTTTTTATTTCCAGTTAAAATTTATATAGAAAAAATATAAACGAATTCGTATTTAATTGCAAATAATTTTTGTATTCATACATAGGTACTTTTACCACGAGAGAAACGAGACGAGACGAGAGAAAGGCACTCTCGAGCGAGAAAAGAGTATTCTCGACGAGACGAGAGACCCATTTTCTCTCGCTGCACGAGACGAGACGAGAGAAGGACTTTTCTCGTCTCGTCTCGTCTCGCGGCATCACTATTTAGGATAGTGTAAACTCATACATCGTTTTAAAAAAATACCAGCGCTTTTTGTAAATTAATTCTGATTTTAAAGGTTTTCAATAAATTAAATTTTAAATAATACAAACTCCAATTAATGAGTAAATTTATTAACTGGCAGAATTGACATTTGCACAAATAAGTCACCAATTAAAAGATGTCGAATCATGGCACTCTTATACAAAATATCACGTCACCCGCCACATGCACTAATACGTTTGAATATTACGCGCTTGACAGTCCTGTCACGCGCTCGAAAATGTTTAATATCTTCCGATCCAAAAGAGTCTCCACTGTTCTGAAAAATGTATTTTGTAGATAAAGAAAAAGCGCATAAAATAGTATTTTTTTCATTTTATTTTATAGAGGGGGCAAACATGAAAAACCAGTTTAAAAAATTAATCTGTTATTAACTCCCTATACTTAAAAAAAAAAAAAAATTAATTTATTTATTTGAAAAGCCTATTCAATAAGGTTTAAAACAAAAAAAAAACAAAATCGATCCGATCACTAGAACCGGAGATAATGGGTTTTATGTAGAAGAGAATTTATCGTTTTATCGCAATTCATAAAAACTTTATATCAACATATCTCTGAAAAAACAATTTTTTTACAGAAAACCTGATACACGTATCTGCTTATTTACTGAATAGAAGCGGTAAAAAAATTTTCATGCGAATCCAAATCCTGATGTCAAAATAGGTGTACGATTTGTAAAAGAATGTCTCATATGATGTTATCTATAAAAATATTATTAAGAGTAGTTTTAAACTGCTTAAACGGTTTGCTTTTTAAATCATTAGGTAGCAAGTTGAAAAATGATACTCCTAGGCAATCAAATGAATTTTGCGTTTTACTTATTCTATTTTTCGGAATTCTTAAAGCTGTTTTAAATCTCGTATTATATCCAGTGTTAGTGTGATCTTCATAGTTTTTAATATTTTTATAGACATACACGAGACAGGCAAGTATATAAATTGCTGGCATGGTAAGTATTTTGTACTTTTTAAAGAGAGGTCGACATGACGTTTGTCGACTTACTCTGGCAATAGCTCGTAGAGCTCTTTTTTGTTGTAGGAGTATTTTGTCTGCTTCAGGAGATCCGCCCCATAGTAGAATACCATAAGACATCTTGCTGTGGAAGTGGGCATAGTAGGTAGTGATTGCTGCATGTTCGTTAACGATGTTTCGTATCCTTCTCACACAGTAGATTGCGGATGAGAGTTTTTTGGACAATTCATCAATGTGA